CCGTTGCCAGCCCCGGTCCGGTACGGGGGCGACCCGGAGGGTTGGGATCCGTTGCCGGGAACGAAAAAAGACAAAAAGGAAAAAAAAAAAAAAACCTGATTTTTAGGACACACTAGCAGGCCCCCTGGGTCTCCAGGGGTGCCCACCCTCCTACCAGGAAGCCCACCTGTGATGCCAGTGCTGCAGGAGTTTTGGGCAGGGGGTGCCATCTTTTCACAGGACAAGGTGGTGATGTTGATATTGTACGAGGTAGAAAACTTCAAATGCTTGACTTCTGCCCTGTACTCGGTGCCGTTCTCCGAGGAGCAGCTCTCCAGGCGTGTCTCGTTGCTCCAGGCTCCACTGCTGAGCCCCAGGTGGAAGCCAGCATTGGTGCCAGGAGGGCAGGCCCATTTGAGCACCAAGGCCGGCTCTCTGGGGACCACTTCACAGTGGAAGGAGGCCACCGATGCAGGATCTGCCAAGCAAGTACAGCACATCATGAGGTTCTGGAACATCTGACCTTCACAAACACAGAAATGTGGGAGCAGGAGAATCCTGGCCCCTTCATGATGAAGAGACAGGTGTGTGTGTGGTGGGGGAGCAGAGACTGCCCTGAATTGGGCAATGCCAAACTGTGTGCCCTTGGGCCAGTCACCCAACTGCTCTGAGCCTCAGCTGCAGGACTGTTCGAGGATTAAATGAAACAATGGGTGTTAGCCACCAAGCCAGACACCAGTAAGAGAAGAGAGCTCCCCAAGTGGCAGCTGCATTATGCTGTGTGCAGTAGCAGTCTCGTCACCTGCATCATCTAGTCTGGGGCCCTCTGGACAATCCTTCTGGAACACATAGGTTTATACTGTCCCAGTTTGCAGATAAACCAGCTGAGGCTTGGAGAGGTTAAGCAATTTGCTGAAGATGACATTGCTGGTAAATGGTGAAGACAAAACTGGATCCCAGGTTTTCTAAGTCCAAGTTTGGGGGAAACTCTACCCATACAGCATGCTCAATGGTAAGTGGTGTCAGTTTCTGTATCTTTAAAATGGGGTGATATTTGTCTCTATCTATCTGATGGCCAATAGAGTTTTACTGAGGGCCAACATCAAACTGATATAAATGGAAAACTACATTAATATACTGTGGAAGAATATTATCATTACTTGAATTTCACAGAATTTTGGAGCAGGAAAAGCTCTAACGAGTCACCTAGTGCAGCTCCCACATTCTCCACCTGAGGCCTGGAAAGGTAACCTGCCGGTACCCCTACTCCCACAGCACCTGTTCTACCCACCCCCGGTCATAAATTCATTGCTATAGGCTGCAATGAATATAGCTAAGTTATGAAGCAGCAATGGAAGCCCCCCAAATACCGTAGATCAGAGTCTAGGCCTGGTAGGTGGAGCCTGAGTCAGCAGAGGTGACACAAAGCTGCAGGCTTTCTTTACCCACCCCATGTGGAAGGTCAAAGTCCATCGGGGTTCCAGCTCTGATGCAACCAGGGAGGCTGAGCAATGAGACCCCTGCTTCCTAGAGCACCTGGCTTGCTCTAGGGAAGGGAAGACGCAGAGATAAAGGGGCAGAGAATAGGTGGGACATAGGTGCCAAGGCGACCAAGGGGCCGCAGTCAGAACTGTGAGCAGAAGGGCTCATCACCGTGGGCAGGACCTTCCCGCTGCTCTCAGAAAGCACCTCAGTTAGACACAGGGCTCTTCTCTTTATCGCCCTTTTTGAATTGTGAGGTAGGTGAGGGTCAAGAGGGTGAGAAGGTTGGGCATCCATTTTAACAACATCCTTTCCATCTTCTTCAGTGGAAAAGCCAAGCCAGGAACTACAGGCCAGACATCAGCTATGCCCTTGCCCCTGAGCTCTCAGACCCTCCGTCTACCTCACCCTCTCGCTCCTGTGGATCTGCTACTGCCACCCTGGCCTCCTGCTCTTCCTCCAACATCACAGGCCCACTCCAGCCTCAGGGCCTTTGCACTGGCTGCTCCTCTGCCTGTAATGCTCTAATGCCCTGATACCCACATGGCTGGCTCAAAAGTCACCTTTTCATTGAGACCTTCCCTGAGCACCCTAAGTAAACATCTCATTGCCCCATTCCCTATTTTTTTCCTCTCTTCTTAGCAGTTATTGTCACCTAACAATTTATTTATTTAACTTGTCTACTATCTGTCTTCCCCACCAGAATAAAAGTTCCAGGAAGGCAGGGACTTGTCTGCCTGGCATATAGTAAGTGCTTGATAAGACGTGTATTTGTTGAATGAAAAAATGATGAGGGCATCAAGACAGCCCTGAGAAGCTAACAGGGTGGCTCAGAGAGCGCAACATTTAATCGTGCACAGCACACGAGACCTACTACACTATAGACTGCGAGGTCAGCACCACACGGGAAGGCGTCCAAGAGGCACCTGCAGCCACTCACCTGTGCAGAATGACTTCCGGCCAGGCTCCAGTGACTCAGTAACATTTCCCACTTGTGCAAAGATCTCTACTGTGTAAGACAAGCCTGGTGTTAACTCAGTGACTGTCGTGTATTTGATTCCAGTGCCCGTGACTACTTGGGTTGCGTTGCTGGAATTTCCATCCTTAATGAGAAGGCGGTAAGAATATGTGGGAGAGGCTTCATCAAGGTTCTGCCAACTTAAGGCTGCTTCTGTGCTGTTGGTACTTATTTCAATGTTGACCACATCGCTAGGCCCTTGAGTTTTAAAAAAAAATTTTTTTTAAGGAAAAGCACAGACTAACTAGAATTCCAGGACTCTTTTTAACTACACCCCAAAATAGCCAGTCTCCTTTTAAAAGAAATGACTAAATCTAATATTTGCTTGCTCAAAAGATGGAAGGCTTCCCAAAAAGATTTCCATAAAATAATTATACAGATTAAATCTCAAAGAATTAAAGTTTTTAAGGCTTCTTTCAATGCCTCAAGTTCATCTGAAATATATTTTTAAGACATTATTTCCAATCTGTTTTTTAAATCTGATTGATGAAAGAGAATACACCAAAAATGTATTATAAACTAACATCTCCACCATGTATTTAGATTTGAATATTATTAGCAAAACACCTCCCTCACTGTGTTGTAGGCAAAGCTCCTCATCCAAGCAGCGGCTTCCAGTGCCAACATGACAGGGTGACTCTCCTCGAGTCTGTGTTTACAAGGAATGAGTGGAATAGTTATGTTCTCCATTCTCATGGAATCACTTTGTGCTTCAAAACATAATTTCAAGTTCCTGTGGCTTCAACACCAATGCACCATGAGGACAGCAGAACCTTTGCCGAGGCCAATATTTTCAACTTAAGCAGTTTCACATTCAATCTGGAGCCCAGAAACACAATCGCCCTTTACCCCACCATTAAGCCAGTGCTCACTCCAAGTGAAAGTCTGGGAGCAACTACCTTAGAAGGACGTCCTAAGAGACTTACGTGTGTACTGTTCAGTGGAGTTGGAGACCCCCAGGACATGGTCCACTTCTGGAGAGACTGTGATGTTATACAAGGTGCCTGGGATTAGGTCCTGCAGAGTGATCGCTCTGTGAGAACTGTTGGTTGTGTGAGAGCCCTTCACAGACTGTATATGTAAATAGTAGATGTACTCAGAGCTGTGGTCTATATTCTGCCACTCCAGCTCCATTTCAGTGGTGGTAACATGGACCACGCGGATGTCAAACACTGCGCCGAGGTCTGGTCAGACGAAAGGAAGGAAAAGGAAATCTGTTAATGACATTCATGACATCATTTCCAAGTGTCTGTCAAGAGAACTTGCTCCTTTGCCATGAGGTTCCCAAATGAATGCATGGAGGGCAAACTCCAAACTAAGCAGAGGAAACACATACCAATTTCTTTCAAGAATTTTGTTTCTTCCACACAGATGAACTTGCCAGTTCATTTGACCAGTTATCTGGTCTTTCGCTTTTGACGTAAAAATGAACCCCTCAAGGGATCTTCTGGAGAGGAAATCATGTTCAGTTTCATTGATCTGGGTGCTGATCATCAGATGTGTTCAGTTTGTGAAAATTCATCAAACTATGCACTGACAATATGTACTTTTGGGTATGTATATTGTATCTTGATAAAGAGTTAGATTTTTTTTTAAGAGTTTTGTTTGTTTAAATCACTCAAAAGAAAACGTCTTCCTGCAACATAACCTGGCACACTGAAGAGGAAAACCGAAATGGAGAGCTGGGAATCTACCATGCTGGAGCACTTGAAGCCATGTGAGGAAGAGAAGGAAACGCACACGCTCCATCCTGAGAGCCAGAGTCAGAACTGAAGTCACCCACACGAGCCTGTGCTCTGAGCATCTCACCTTGGCTCACTGGACCATGTGCAAGAAAGCGAGACATGCAGGCCCAGAAATAACAATGGAAGTGAGGCCTCTTTCCTGCCCTTGCTTTCAAAACCCTCCTCTCCTTACCAGATGACCAAGGTCACCTTCAGGGAGAGGAACTGGATGGCTGGGGGACAAGAAAGGGAAACATTTACCCTATAAAACCCTTTGTATTATTTTTAAATTTCTGTACCACAGGCATGTACTATCTACTCCAAAGTTAATTTTTTTTTTTTAAGAAGTGGGGTCTCCTTAAAGGAAGGCAGCTTGGAGAGCCTTCTTTCCCTATCGCCAGATTCCAGATGTCAGAGAGACTCCACAGAAGACCATGAAAGGCAGCCTGCTTTCTATAAACATAAAACCACTAGAAATCACCCAAATATTCCACAAACAAGGGAAGGGCTCTGTAAATCGCGATCTGGCTATATGACAACACGTTCTGCATCCATTGAAAACATGAAGGCCATACTAACTATGGGGGAAAGTTATGGTACACATTGAGTTTTTTTTTTTAAAGTTCAAATATAAAATAAGATTATTTGTATAATAATTAAAACGATATAAACAAAATGTATGACCGTGCCTTGGTCTCCCCTGTGGGAACGAGGGGGGTGCCGCAGGCCTCAATCCTGTCCTCTCCTCTTTCCACCTTCTCCCATCCCATTTCCTTCCCCTTTCCCCTCTCTCCTTCCATCCCAACTGCTCCACACCAACATCCTAGAATGTAAAAAATAATAATATTAATTAAAAAATTAAAAAATTAAAAATTAACTTACACAATTAAAAAAATGTATGACTGTGGATACAGATAAGGAAGGAATTCAGTTAGGTTAGAAAATAGAGTTATATTTGTTACCCTTCCTTTTCATTGTGGTAACATGTATATAACATATTATTTGTCATCTTACCTTAACCACTTGCCAATTCATGGCATCACAATCCAGTGGCATGAAACAGATTCACAGCGTTGCATAACCATCACCACTGTCTGTACCCAAAACATTTTCACCATCCCCAACATAAAACTCTGTACCCTTTAAACAACTCCTTATTTTCCCTGCTCCCCAACCCTAGTAGCCTCTACTTTCTGTCTCTATGACCTCACCTATTCTAGGTATCTCATATAAGTGGAATCAAACAATATCTGTCCCTCTGTGACTGACTTATTTCACTTAGGATAACGTTTTCAAGATCCATCCATGCTGTACCATCTATCAGAATTTCATTCCATTTTATGGCCAAACAATATTCTATTTTACAGATACAGCACATTTTGTCTATTAATTCATCTGTTGATAAACACTTGGTTGCTTCCACCTTTTGGCTATTGTGAATAATGATACTGTGAACACTGGTGTACAAATAACTGTTTGAGTCGCTGCTTTCAGTGCTTTTGGGTATGTACCTAGGAGTGGAATTGCTGGGTCGTATGGTATTTGTTTCCCTTTTTCAAAATTGCCTTTAAGGCTGTTAAAATGATTTTTCCCATTAGTGATGAAAGCTATTCAGTAACAGAAGGATAACTCCCAAGAGTCTAGGGCCTTATTACAACTCTTCGTGATTTCCTTTCAGCGGGACCCAGTTACAGGTTGCAGAGCAAAAGATTCTTTCTCCTCGCAAACCCTAAACTTCCTGCTGTTCCACATCATAGTGCCAGTGCACATGTGGGTTCACTCCTTGGTCTTAGGAGCCAGAGACCAGTTTGCCACCTTGTCACTCTGGGCCAGTTACTTAAGCTCCCAGAGCTCCCATTTCCTACTCTATAAAACAGAGATGATAATAATCTCTACTCATAAAGTCGTGTTAATTATTTTTTCTTTTGACCGGTAAGGGATCACAACCCTCGGCATGGTGTCATATGACTGTGAATAAACTTTTGTCATATTAGAAATCATGCTGGCAAGAATGTAAAAACAGATGGCAATCCATACTTAGTACAGGTGTATTCCATAGAAAAAAATTGCCACTCCTTACTGAATATTCCACAGTGGTGGTAGTTATTAAGGGAAAGTATGCATTATTGGCCCTGAGTATAATGTCCATACTAGCCCTCTTGGCTTTTTGTTCATGGAGCCCTAAAGCAGCAGTGGAGTGATTTCTGAAATAGGCTGACTGACATCTACAGAATGGACTATCTTATCCATTGGATTATTGAGCACCTCCTCTTTGGAAACAGCCTTTTGTTGAGACTTTGCATACCGCATAAATATCCTCAAACACTGATTCATTCTAAGAGTACCATCCAATAATTTATTCCAAAACCAGTCTTTCCATCTATTTCCTACTATGCCTACACATATGGCCAAAATATTAGCAGATTGGTATCCCTGAATATCAAACCATTTTTGATACATCATTGACCCTGCAAGCTATTACAGTTATTAAATAATTCAAGTGCTACCTGAACACTCACATACAGCAACACATGATGCAACTGATAAATTTTATAAACCATATCTATGATATTACAGAATGATGCTATATATCAGTAAATAATTTTGAGTTCGAATAAGAAATAATTGTGTCTTCCTATAGACCAATTATATACCCTGTTTTTTTTTGTTTGTTTTTATTATACATACATGTGGGGTACAATGTTGATTTTCAATAATTGTGTAGAATGTGTGGTGGTTAGATCAGTATAGTTAGCTTATTCATCATTACAACACACAATCATTCTTTCTGTCCATTGATCAATTCCTCATTACCCCCCTCCCTCTCCCCCTTCCCTCTGCTCTTCCACGTCTAGTTTTCTAAAAGTTCAATGAATTACTGTGATTGCTGTTTTTTTCTGTCTCTTTTTATTGTTCACTTGTTTATTTATGGATTCAGCTCTCAGTTATGAGTGAGAATATGCAGTATTTCTCTTTCTGTACCTGGGTTGTTTCACTTAGGACAATTTTCTCCAGGCTCATCCATGTTTTTGCAAGGGGTGGAATTTCATTCTTTTTTATGGCTGAGCAGTATTCCATTGTGTAAATACACCACAATTTCCTTATCCAGTCATCCATTGATGGACAATTAGGTTGGTTCCATAGCCTAGCTATTGTAAGTAGAGCTGCAATAAACATAGGAGTGCAGGTATGCCTTCTACCTGATGTTTACAACCCTCTGGATATATCCCCAGAAGTGGGATTGCTGGATCATATGGAAGTTCTATCTGTAGTTGTTTAAGGAACCTCCATACTGTTCTCCATAATGGTTGTACTATTTACAGTCCCACCAATAGTGCAGGAGGGTTCCTCTCTCTCCACATCCTTGCCAGCATTTGTTATTTTCTGTCTTTTTTCTTTCTTTCTTTTTTTTTTTTTTTTGACTGGTAAGGGGATCACAACCCTCAGCACAGTGTGGTCTGCCATTCCTATACAGAATCTGAATCCGCGGCCTTGGCACTACCAGTGCCGCATGCTCCAAGTGAGCCATGGGACCAGCCCTATTTTTTATCTTTTTAAGATTGATAGCCAGTCTGATTGAGGTGAGGTGATATCTCAAAGTGGTTTTGATTTGCATTTCCCTGATCGTTAGTGATGTTTAGCATTTTTTCATATACCTGTTGGCCATTTGTATGCCTTCCTTTGAGAAACGTCTATTCAGCTTTGCCCATTTTTTAATTGGATTATTTGTTTTTTTGCTGTAAAGTTGTCTGAGCTCTTTTTATATTCTGTATATTAATCCCTTGTCAGATGCATTTTTTTGCAAATATTTTCTCCCATTCTGTAGGATGTCTTCTCACTATTGATTGTTTCCTTTGCTGTGCAGAAGCTTTTTAGTTTGATATAATCCCATTTTGTTACAGTTCCTGCTGTGTAATGGAGATGCAAAAAAGGATTACTCAAAGCAACATGAATGCAATGAGAAGCCCAAAGGGACTGCACCTCAGCAGCTCCTCTGTTAGAAGGAGAAAACTGGGTACAGCCCAAATTCAAAGTTAGCTTCTGTTTTTTTATTGTAAAGACAAGGAATTTTCACAAGAAAAATCAGTTGATTCAATCATTTCAAAAAGACACAGACATGGGCAGTTTGACAAAAGTTAGCTATGGCTAAGTTGCTTAAACAATGGAAACTAGTAACATCATTTGGATCTAATTGTCTCTAAAGTTTCCATCAACAAACAGCTTGCCCTTAGCAAACATTTTTTCACATTTTTCCCTACAGCAATTCTTTCAACATCTTTTAACAACAATCATTATGTTAAATGAGCAAAGTACATAATCCCATCCCTAAACAGTGATTAGAATTGATCAGATGGGCGTTTGCCAGCTGGCTGTGGACTTTTGTCCCTTAACCAAGGACTTTTTTGCCTACATGCTTTACCAAAAAACCTATACTAAAAATCCACTGAGAATCAACATATACTTGATCAGAATTGATTATATAGGCTTTTGCCCTCTGACTGTGAACTTTTGTCCCTTAATCGAGGACTTTTGTCCCATACATGCATTACCTAAAAATCCTATTCTAAAAATCAAATAAGAATCAAGATTTCTAACCCTTTACACCATTTGTTTATTTTTTCTTTTGTTGCCTGTGCTTTTGGGATGTTATTCATAAAGTCATTGGCCTATCCTAAATCCTGGAGCATTTCCCCTACATGTTCTTGTAGGAGTTTTAAAGTTTCAGTCCTTATATTTAGGTCTCCAATCCATTTTGAGTTGATTTTGGTATATGGTGAAAGCTACAGATCAAGTTTTATTCTTCTACAGATGGATAACCAGTTTTCCCAGCACCATTTATTGAAGCAGCAGTCTTTTCCCCAATGTACATTCTTGGTGCCTTTGTCAAAGATCAGTTGGCTATAAATATGTGAGTTGATTTCTGATTTTCTGCTCTGTTCCATCAGTCCACGTGTCTGTTTTTATGTCAGTACCATGCTGTTTTTGTTATTACAGATTTGTAATATAGTTTGAAGTCAGGAAGTGCAATGCTTCTAGCTTTACTTTTTTTGCTCAGGATTGCTTTGGCTATTTGGGGTCATTTTTTTGTTCCATATGAATGTTAGGATTGCTTTTTCTATTT